AGTTAAGGGTGGAGTTAAGAGGGTAGAGTTAAGACGATGGAGTTAAGGAGTTCAATTCATGAGGTGGAGTTAAGAGAGGTGAAGTAAGAGGTGGAGTCAGAGGTGGAGTAAGAGGTGGAGTTAAGATGGTGTGAAGAAGGTCAAAGGAGCTCAACAGAATTGGAGTTAAGAGGGTAGAGTTAAGAGGTGGAGTAAGAGGTGGAGCAAGAGGTGGGGTTAAAGAGATTGAGTTAAGGTTCATCATGAGAGTGGAGTTAAGAGGTTGAACTTAAGAGGTGGAGTCAAGAGGGTGGAGTTAAGAGGGTGGAGTTAAGAAGGTGGATTCAAAAGAGGTGTGGAAGGTCAAAGACTCAACAGGGTGGAGTTAAGAGGTAGGAGTTAAGAGGGTGGAGTTAAGAGGTGGAGTTAAGAGGGTAGAGTAAGACGAAGGAGTTAAGAGTTTCAATTCATGAGGGTGGAGTTAAGAGGTGAAGTTAAGAGGGTGGAGTCAAGAGGGTGGAGTTAGAGGGTGGGTGGGGTAGAACAAGAAGTGGATTTAAAGGTGGAGTCAAGAGAGTGGAGTTAAGAGGTGGGAGTCAATGAGGTGGAGTTAAGAGGTGGAGTTAAGAGGTGGAGTTAAGAGGTGGGGTGAGAGGGCTGGAATCAAGGGGTGAAGTTAAGAAGGTTAAGTCAAGAGTTGGGTTTAAAAAGGTGGAGCTGAAATGGTGGAGTCAAGAGGGAGTATTTAAAAAGTTGGGATCAAGAGGGTGGAGTTAGGAGGGTGAAGTTAAGAGGGTTTAGTAAAGAGGGTGGAATTAAGTGGGTGAAGTTATGGGGGGTGAGATAAGAGGGTGGAGTCAGAGGGTGGAGTCAAGATGCTGGAGTTAAGAATTGGAGTTAAGAGGAGTCAAGACAGAGTCAAGAGATTGGAGTCAAGAGGTGGAGTCAGAGGGTGGAGTCAAGAGGGTGGAGTTGAAGGTGGAGTCAAGAAAGTGGAGTTAAGAGTGTGGAGTCATTTGGGTGGAGTCAAGAGTGATTTGGGGTGGAGTCAAGGGTGTATTTAAGAGGTGGAGTCAGAGTGTATTTAGAGGTGGAGTTAAGAAAGTGGAGTCAAGAGGGTGGGTAAGAGTGGAGTCATTTGGAGTCAGAGAGTGTATTTAAGAGGTGGAGTCAAGGTAGTAAGAGGTGGAGTTAAGAAGGTGGAGTCAGAGGGTGGAGTTAGAAAGGTGAAAGAAGACTCAGCAGGGTGGAGTTAAGAGGTGGAGTTGAAGATGGAGTTAAGAAGTGAAGTTAAGAGGGTGGAGTCAGAGGTGGAGTCAAGATGCTGGTTAAGAGGTGGAGTTAAGAGGTGGAGACAAATGGTGGAGTCAAGAGGGTGGAGTCAAGAGGGTGGAGTCAAGAGGTGGAGTTGAGAAGGTGGAGTCAAGAGAGTGGAGTTAAGAGGGTGGAGTAGGATGTTGGAGTTACTGGGTGGAGTTAAGAAGGATGGAGTCAGAGGGTGGAGGTAAGAGGGTGGAGTCATTTGGGTGGAGTCAAGAGAGTGTATTTTGAGGTGGAGTCAAGAGAGTGTATTTAAGAGGGTGGAGTTAAGAAGGTGGAGTCAAGAGGTGGGTTAAGAGTGCGGAATCAAGGGGTGGAGTTAAGAAGGTGAAGTCAAGAGGGTGGATTTAAGGTGGAGTCAGAGGGTGGAGTTAAGAAGGTGGAGTCAAGAGGTGGCGTTAAGAGGGAGGAGATAAGAGGTGGAGTTAAGAAAGATGGAGTCAAGAGGGTGGTGTTAAGAGGGTGGGTTGAGGGTGGAGTCAAGAGGGTGGAGTTAAGAAAGAGGAGTCAAGACGGTGGATTTAAGAAGGTGGAGTTAAAAAGGTTGAATTAAGAGGGTGGAGTCAAGAGGGTGGGAGTCAAGAGGTTAGAGTCAAGTGTGTGGAGTTTAGAAGATCGAGTCAAGACTCAAGAGGGCGGAGTTAAGGAGGTCAATTCATGAGGGTGGAGTTAAGAGGGTGGGAGTCAATAGGGTGGATTTAAAAAGGTGGAGTCAAGAGGATGGTGTTAAGAGGGCGGAGTTAAGAGGGCAGAATGAAGGGGGTGGAGTTAAGAAGGTGAAGTCAAGAGGGTGGATTTATAAAGCTGGAGTTAAGACTCAAGAGGCAAGAGTAAAGAATGGAGTCAAGAGGGTGGAGTTAAGAAGGTGAAGCTAAGAAGGTGGAGTCAAGAGGGTGGGGTTAAGAGGGTGGAGTTATGTGGGTGGAATCAAGTGGGTGGAGTTAAGAAGGTGGAGTGAAGAAGGTGGAGTGAGAGGGTGGTTTTAAGAGGGTGGAATCAAGAGAGTGAAGTTAAGAAGGTGGAGTCAAGAGGGTGGAATTAAGAAGGTGGATTCAAGATGGTGGAGTTTAGAGAGTGTAGTTAAGAAGATGGAATTAAGAAGGTGGAGTCAAGAGGGTGGTGTCAAGAGGGAGGAGTTAAGAGGGTTGAGTTAAGAAGTTGGAGTCAAGAGGGTGTATTTAAGAGGGTGGAGTTAAGAAGGTGGAGTTAAGAGGGTGGAGTTAAGAGGGTGGAGTTATGAAGGTCGGATCAAGAGGGTGGAATTCAGAAGGTGGATTTAATAGGGTGGGAGTTAAGAGGGTGGAGTCAAGAGGGTGGAGTTAAGAAGATGGATTTAAGAGGGTGGAGTTAAGAGGGTGGAGTTAAGTGGGTAGAGTTAAGTCAGTCGTAGGTAATAGGCAGCTACCAAACAGGGAGGTACTACCGCCTGGGAAGATATCGGAAGCATAATGTGTTGTCTAATGGACCCTGCTGCCATATGGCATCACGAAAATTGTGACCAAGTCCCAGGTTGCTGATCTGTCTTTCTGCCTCATTTACACACAATTACAGGGTCTCAATTGTTTCTCTTACATGACAACACAACATACATATATTGTTTCTCACTATTGATTTTTTTTCATTCTTCTGTATTTCTTTGTATTTATAATTTTTATTATTACAGTGTTATTAGTATTATTATTATTATCATTAATATTTTATTTTACTTTTTAATATAAATTTTATTTACTATGAATTATTATTATTATTACATTTTCGCCCCCCAGACCCCGATGTGGGTCAGTGACCTGTGCCCGGGTGGGCTAATTCATGGTAAAAAAAAAGTGGGTGGGAGTTAAGTGGGTGGAGTCAAGAGGGTGTAGTTAAGAGGGTGGAGACAAGCGGATGGAGTTAAGAAGGTCGAGTGAAGACTCAAGAGGGTGGAGTCAAGAGAGTGGTGATAAGAAGGTGGGGTTAAGAGGGTGGAGTAAAGAGGGCTTAGTTAAGAAGGTCTAGTCTAGAGGGTGGGGTTAAGAGGGTGGAGTTAAGAGGGTGGAGTGACGAGGTTGGAGTTAAGAGGGTGGAGTTAAGAGGGCGAGGTCAAGAGGGTGGAGTCAAGAGGGTGGAGCTAACAGGGGGTGTCAAGAGGGTGGAGTTAAGAGGGTTGAGTTAAGAGTGTGGAGTTAAGAGGGTGGGCTTAAGGTGGAGTCAAGAAGGTTAAGAGGATGGAGTTAAGAAGGTGGAGTTAAGAGGGTGGAGTTAAGAGGGTGGAGTTAAGAGGGTGAAGTCAAGAGGGTGGGGTTAAAAAGGTGGAGTCAAGAGGGTGGAGTTAAGAGGGTGGAGTCAAGAGGGTGAAGTTAAGAGGGTGGTGAAGAAGGTTGAAGCAGGAGTAAACCTTGACGTATGCCTCCTGATGTTACAAAACTGTAGTTTGAACCCGAGGCTCACATGAAGGTAGTTTCTAGGGTTCAGCTTCAAACTGGCTAATGCTGAAGGGGCTTTGGAGCCCTCGTCTATTCACAGTAGTATCCCGCACACCACCATATTTACCGTAGCCTAGGTTGAATTGTTGCCTTTTGAAGAGATTTTTTTTTTTTTACACATCTGTGGGTTGGTTTACCATAATTCATATATTTTCTGACATGTAAAAGCATATGGGAGTTTTTTCTTCTTCACTACCACAACCGGAACAGCTCAGGAAAAATGATAGGGGGTAACTTCACGAGACTCCAATACACGGATAAAAATCTCATCGGCGAAAACTTCCTCACACAATTTCCTACTGGAAAATATATCACCACCATCTGGCCGGAATACTACCAGGTCAGGTTATTTATTTATTTTTCTGGTCTTAATACACTGTTAGATTAAGTTAGAGTTGGATTTTGTCCATTGTGGTGCCTCGCCTGCTACTGTTGGTCCGCCACCCACCAGTGTTGACTTTCTGAGGTGCCCCGGAGGTTGCCGCGGCACAGTACACCTTCCACTCCCCTCTCCCTCACTCACCCGCTCTAAGGGTTAATCTCATTATGGTTAGTGATGGTATTATGAGGCCAGTCCCTGCTGTTTGATTATGATTTAATTTCTAATTATATTTAATTTTTAATGTGTAATATTTGTTAGCAAGTCGACAGAACACTATAGCTGCATTTTTTTCTAATGAGGTATTATGTAAATATAATACAAACTAGTTATGATCTTATGCTTTTAGTAACCAAAACTTCAGTCATTCATCCAAGGATATTAATTTTTCATAGAAATGTTTCAGTCACGAGGTATTATATAACGGTGCTCAGGCAAGAGGACGCATAGGTACCTGAACGTTACTCTTTACGCTTGGAATAAAGTAGAATGTTTGAATATTACTGTACTGGTTGTTATCGACGTCTGTTTATGCTGCCTGATTATGGCGTCACCAGCCCACAGATAGCTAGAAACGAGATATTCTGTCGTTGCACATGCGCCACCCAACTGGCTCACATCGTGTTGCCTGATTCATATATTATTAATAACTTATTGTAGCATTCACAGTCTTATTACATGTCTATGTTTCTCAATATAGTTTTTGAATTAATACAAATAGTGAAATTATAGCAAAGAAATAACAATAATATGCAATGGAGAAATAATTGCGGTAGATATCGAATGTCTGGCAACGTGTGGGGGTTCCTCCTGCAGGGCGGATAGCACCTGTTGCTGAGCCTGGCGTCATCAGTGTGTCCCTCGCCCCCAGTCGCGCTGTTGCTCTTCCCCTCCAACCACATAACCTGCACTGCCTCACACTCACCCGCTTCACGCTCACTATATACCCTCATGGATACTCCGGCCACGCTTATTTATAAACCTGTCGAATATGGTTTTATATGACTGCGAATAGCTGAGGTGCGTGTAGGCCAAATATTAATGCAATGTACTGTATGTGCAATATTTTATCTTAGAGGTTTGTGAGAAGTTGAGACCATAGGAGGAATATATATATATATATATATATATATATATATATATATATATATATATATATATATATATATATATATATCAATAAGACACTATCATCACTGTGATAGGTTACCGATATGTGCATTTGTTATTCAGGGATTTTAGTACTAGAGTAGCCTAAGACCTGGCCTTGTTCACCCTTGAGATTTATTTATATATTCAAATTTCAGCCTAAAGTGTACACAACTACAGTATATGCATTCCTTATCTTGGATGATTTACCGAATAAAATACAGAAAGTGAGTTATGTTTATATTTGCTAATGAAAAAATAAATTACGAAAAGGGGAAAAAATTCACATCAAATATTTGAAATATAAACGACATTTTTGTGAAACTGTGTGAGGTGAACATTTATGGATGTACTGCATCATAAACCACATCAGATAAGAGTGAAAGTGCAAGTAACAAAGCTTAGTAGCTATACTTCTAAAAAATATTGTGCCAAATATCGATTAATAGTGAAACTACAGTGACTCCAACCATGTTACCAAGTGATAATCTCTGCCACACTTCATAGTTGACCGAGCTGTGTTGAGGAGAGTGATTATTTCAAGTGCTAGTAAAGTAAGTGGTAGCGCCCATGAACTAAGGTGCGGCCATGTCGAGCTCGGCGGGGCGGAGCGGACCCAGGAACAGTAAATGGAAGAATGTTGTCAGCAGGTTGCGACGAGGGTGAGTTGCCTTGTAGCCACTTTACACTTTTCTTTACGTTAATAGCGTTCCTTGAGGCCACATTGTGGTGTTATACCTCACAGTATCGCAGTTTGTCGCCATCCTGTAGCCTTATTTAATTCTTAATGCCGTCTCATATCACAAAATTACATCTAGTATCAGGCTTTACCGCTCACGTTTAGCACTAAAAGCCACTGCATTTCACATTAATGTATTTAGTGGTTATCTTTACCGTTGAAACCGATGTTACGTTAATATCTTCGCGTCACAGATAACGTTACTTCGTTCTATAACGATCCTTTACAGCTTCTTATTATTGCGGTACTTCAATCTTTTGTTCTTACTGGAAACACAAGTTCTAACTTATACACCGCAGTACACTTAAGTACCATTTCAAGAGTTCCAATCATTGTTTAACTATTTGCATATTCCACTCAATTTACCGTGAGTGCGTGTCCCTCACAGTTTACCTTAATGCTCGTGAAGTTTCTCACAGCAGAATGTTCCACTTATTTTCTCCGCGAAGTTTGTCCTGAGTATATGAATAGCATTGATGGTCTGATCTCAGCGAAAATTTAGTGGAATAATGAAAATTGACAAGATGGTGTACAGAACATCTAATTTAAGACTATGCTATACGTCAGAGTTGAAGGTCACTGGGATGCCACCGAGAACGCTAAAACACTGTCAGGAACACCATTAATGGAACTACTGTATGTAGGTATGCGTGTTAGACGTTGACATGAGCTACACAACCTAATTGTAGCCCTCAAAACATTGGCCGGAGCCTAACTTGTGCCACTTTAGATATTTTGATGGAATTACCCTCTGAATATTTCTCACCACTAGACAAAGGACAGAACGTCATATTCAGTTCTCAGAGTTAAGAATCATGACCACTGCAGGTCAACGTATTGCTCACAAACACATTTTTTTCAGTTTTTCATCTTAAGAATAAACCTTTTCACACCATTCCTCGCATAATGTCTTCTGTTTCTACTGGTAAAAAGACTTTATGGGCTTTTAGGAAAACACAAATGTCGGCAAAAATAATCTTTTTGTCTTAAAAAATAAAAGTTTTTAATATAAAATGGACTGAATTTCCTTTCATTCCTACTATTTTATCTTTCTTATGGTGAATAATATTTTACTCTCAGACTTTTGAGTTTAGAGAATATTATCCTTGAATCCATTTTATCATTCAAAGTGAAAAAGAAATATGTGCTGTTACATTATGACGAGAGGATGTGCCGAGTGAAGCCCATTGTTCTACTCCTAGGAAAAAAGTATGTATTTTGTAGTGAAGAATACGGGTACAACTTTTATGTAGGTCTAGGTTTAAGGAGTCATTTGTGCTTATTAATACAACCCCAGTTAATTTTTCTTAACTCTGTATACGTCTTCCTGTTTATGTTACAGTTAATTATTCACCCACTTATTTTTCTGCTAATGCTTAGGTCACATAATTATATATTCGTGTCACATATATCTCATACTTATCGTACAGGAAGTGACATGTTTCCCGGATGTTCTATAGAAGCGCCCGCGGGAAGTTGCTTTACTGGGAGTTATATTTTACTGTTTGGTGACGTAAGGTGTTAGTCATCTGTCTCTCTCTCTCTTATAGACTATTCTAAACAACAGCTGCTGAGGAATGTACTGTAAGTGATGGAATAATGATGACTGGAGAATATTACGAGCTGGTAACTGATGAATATGAAGTGTTCATTATTTTTTGGGAGGTTAAATGGTGTATATGTTTTGTAACGTAGTGGTGGTCCTTTGGTGATATCAAGATCGTATAATAATTATGATGGTATTATTCACTCGTGGAGCCCATCATTACCAAGCTGGTCACTTTTGTAGAGGACCAGAAACGTAACTTGTAAAATTTAGATTCTCGAGATCCTGAACGTAGTTACTGAATATGTTTGTTTATCTTGTTCATGTATATCCATATGTGTATAGAACAAGAAAGAAAAAAAATCGTCATTCCTCTTAAATTTTCCTTAAAATGAAATATGAAAACGCACGTAACTAGATGGTTTAACTTACTAAATAAATATAACTACACAATCAGAGTAGCTTTGATATTCCACTCGGGTACGTTTTATCATGTGCAAAGGGTAGCAAATACCTGAACACTTAATATAAGGACGGTGCTGCGTGAGACAATCGTAACCAGCGCCTCCTCCTGCTGTCGTTAGCTTGAATAAAATCGTAATAATAATGTAGACACCGTAAACTTTATCTTTATCATATGGTCTAGAAATTGGTACAAAGTTAAGTCTCTTTACACAATGTTACCTCAGAGTCAATATACTGTACTGCATTGTATGTATGGTGGTAATTTAGAGTCAGGTGATGGTAATTTAGTCCCTGGACACAATATAGACGTTGTAAAAGTTGTCGGTAGTGTAGACTGGATATAAAATAGTGATAGTTTATTTGATATGTAAGTCAAGAAAAATTATATCTCGACTTCGTATAGTTGCGCAGCTCCTGGCGTTCGTAGTATTACTATTTCAACTGAACGGCAGCATAGTTGGCGAATCGAAATTTTCGTAGCGCTACGAAGACTACGGTTCAATGAGGTGGGTGCAGTGGCTGTGATTTTGTATACATACATACAGACCTGTAGTAAGTATTACAAAGACTCAGGTATACATAATTACGGCATAGCAATAAATAAAATAACTTCATGGTAAGCCATTATTCCTGCAGAACACAGCCAAGACCCACGCTGTGATAAGCGTAACTTAGCAACCACCCAGGTTTGTTTTTTGTAGTGCGCAATGACGTCACAACCATTCAGTTTGCACCATAACGTGCTATGAATTCTGAAGCGTCAAGTCAACCAAAGATGCATCGACCCCACCCTGGTTCCCGTACTCGAAATTTTACCTGACAACACTTGGTGAAGTAAGGCCGTATGTAATGGGGATTGTGATTGGTGGATCTATTTTCGGCTGTATCACTGTCAAGATAAATATTTAAAAAAATTAAAGGCAGCGTTTTTATAATATTAAACCATTCATCGTTATTTAAGACAATGATGTACACCGAAAAGAGGATTTAATTTTTTTTACAGATTATTAAGAATCACATTTTGAGGAATATATAACCCGTCTATTATATATTATTTTATTCTATAATCACACTTGATCGCCTTGTTAAGTGACTCACTTTCCCAACATCGAGAAATGGCAGTGGACACACAGGTATGCGCGCCACTTGTTGGTAAGAAAAGAGACTAATTTTGGTGGTTAAGACTCCAATCTCGGAGATTCGCTGTCACTGACGGAGATCTTTAGCAGAATTCTTCACCATGAGTTTCGGAACATAACGCTAATGGGGTGTAACGCGACGTTTTCTTTTGACAGTATACCCACCAAAAAAAAAAAAAACTCAGTTTTCTCTCCCATCCATGAACCCCGAGACTCATGTAACTGTGAATCCGAGACATCACATAGTGTTAGGCCCATAGATGGCACACTGTGATGTCTCGGATTAACAGGTTCATGGTACACAGGGTACATGGATGGGACACAGGATTAACACGACTTGTTTTGGTGGGTGTACATATAGTAATTGTGAACAGTTTAGATCTTGAATTATATGTTGACAGTTTAAATGTTATTAAAATTACTGGCAGTAATTTTGGATGTTTTAAATGGTACCAGTATGATAATTATTGAAATACCGTTATAATTATTGCCCCGGTTAATGACAACTGTAAACGACTTAAATCTTTTAGTAGTGCAAATGTTGAATTTAAATTTGTAATAATTATTCAATGTTTAGATGTTGTAATTATTGTTGACAGGGTTCAAACATGGTATATTGGAACAGTGTGAAGGATGATGATGTGGTAGGTCAGACACAATAACCGCAGGGGTGATGGCGGGCGAGAGTTAAGGCCACCTCATAAATATTCTGGTGCCCGGCCAGAAAACCCGCCTCTTCCTAATAATTTGTATCAGGCTAATGAAGCCATTACAACATACTAGTTACCCGTTATCAGTAAATTCAGAGAAGTTTACAGTGAAACACTTTATGATGTTCATATCCTGGTACAACTTAGTGAAGAGGTTTGTGCCCTCTTTGTCATCATTAGAAATGTTTTGTGTTTTAGCCGCTTTAAAGGGTGGGGGAAAAGACATCTTAGTGCAGCCGCTGCGAAAAGTTCGAATTGTTTTGTTTCTCTCCTTGAAAAGTTGTTGAGTTCTTGATAAAGTTTCTTAACAATGTTGGCAGCGTCTTAAAATCTTCTTAAGAAGTGTAGACATACAGGCATGGCAGCTTTACCGCATACAACGTCTTGGTGTGACAGGTTTAAAATTTATCGAGTAAATGCTGGAGATATTTGTGGTCTAGCAGCTGTGGGAGGTTAACTCATGATATAATAAAGACCGTCTCTAATTATCACATATCACTCGGTCCTAGTTTACTCCTCGCTATATTACAACTGCAATATTTACGCCTCTTCCTTTGGTTTATTTGTTACTTATTTTGTAGAGATATTTTTCTTGTATTTACCGATCTTTCTCTCCAGTTTCACGTGCTCATTTCTTACCTGACCACGAGATCCTGAGGTAAGATTTTCAGATTTAACTAAACATTTTGCTGACCCCGTGATTCTGACCTTTCACAGGGGAGGAGTTGGCAACTATTGTATAAAGGTCTACGGATATATCAAGCCCAAATTAAGTTAACCCTGTTGAGGAACTCCCTTCATTAATTACCCACACGTTATTTACCATCAACCTAAGACGTTCAGAACAGTACATTAGTCTGTGTGTCTGATGATGTACTGCATTAAGTGATGGTGAGTCGATATACAGCCACACATCAACCACAATGCTAAGTTTATACGAACACGCCACACACATATTATTATTGTAATAATATTTGGATTCTTTTAAATCGAACAATAATCATTCGTGTATATTTCGTACCTAAGCCCGCCAGTCAACTCATCATCATTATTGTGTAATGTG